ATCCAAAATTACTTTTGTTTGAAACTCTGACGTTATTCCCAGAAACATGCAAGGCTGGTTCAATATTTGAAAATTTCTTCGTGTAATTCACCATATTAACAGAGTAAAACAAAAAAAAAAAATCCACATGATTACCTCAATAGATGCAGAAAAGACATTTGACAAAATTCAATATTCATTCATGATAAAAACTCCCAGCAATTTCAGAAAAGAAGGAAACTTCTTTAACCTGATTTAGATAATCTACAAAATGACCTACAGCTAACATTTTAAAGATGAAAGACCAAATGCATTCCCTTTAAATTGGTGAACAAAACAAGAATGTTCCCCTTCATCACTTCTTTCCACATCTCATTATAAATCCTAAACAGTGCAATAAGTCAAGAAAGAGAAAAGGTATACAATCTAGAAAGAAAGAAACATGTGTTTAATAGATTACGACTGTCTACTTAGAAAATCCCAAGAAACCTAACCCTGAAAAAGCTCACAGAATAGATGAGTTTAGTAAAAACTCAGGATACAAAGTCAATATACAAAAAAAAAAAGTGTACATCTTGTCAATGATCAATTGGAAACCAAAGTCTTTTAAAATGATCATTTATAATAGGACCAAAAAACTGAAATACTTAAGTATAGGTCTAATGAAATGTTTGCAGAATCTATATGTTGAAAACTAAAAACACTCATAAAAGAAATCAAATACCTAAATAGAGAGGACACTATGTTCACAGATTGGAAATCTCAATTTTGTTAAGATGTCAATTACCGCCAAGTTGAACTAGAAACACAATCCCAATCAAAATCCTAGCAGAATTTTTCTGTGGATATCAACAAAGAAATTCTAAAATTTACATGGAAAGACAAAAGAACTAAAATAGTTTAAAAAAATTCTGAAAAGGAATGAGTGGAGAACTCACATTACCTGATTTCAAGACTTATTTTAAAGCTCTAATCATCAAAACACTGAGATACCGTCAAAGGATAGACAAACAGATCAATGAAACGCAACTGCCTAGAAACAGACTTACAAAAATGTAGTCAAATGGTTTTTGACCAAGAAACAAAGGCAATTCAATGGAGAAAGGACAGTCATTTCAACAAATGGTCAAGAACAACGTGACAAATAAATGAAACTCAACCCAAACCTCTCTCCATACAAAATTTACTCAAAACAGGACATAAAAATAGATCTAAATGTAAAATATAAAACTTGTAGGAAAAAACACAGGAGAAAATCTTTGTGACCTTGGGTTAAGCAGTGTTCCTAGATACAACACCAAAGGTAAAATCCATAAAAGAAAATACTGATATTTTGGACTTCATCAATATTTAAAACTTCTGTACTTCAAAAGACACTGTTAAGTGAACAGAAAAGGCAAGCCACAGACTAGAAGAAAAATCTTTGCAAATCACATATCTGACAAAGGACTACAGAGAAACCTCAAAACTCAACAAAAGTGGGCAAAATATTTGGACACTTCAACGAAGATATACAGATGGCAAAAAGCACATGAAAAGATGCTTAATATCATTCGTCATGAGAAAAATACAAATAACCGCAATGAGATACTGCTATATACTTATTAGAATAACCAAAGTTAAACGATTCACCATAGAAGCACAGATGAGAATATAATGTAACAAACACTCATAGACTGCTGAGGGAAATACAAACTGGTTTAGCCTCTTTGAAAAACAGTTTTACATTATGTAGTTTCCTATGCTGCTATAACAAATTAACAGAAACTCAGTGGCTTAACATAAATTTATTAGTATTTTACAGTTTTGTAGGTTAGAAGTCTGATTCAGGACTCCCGGAGCTAAAATCAAGGCACTGGCAGAGCTGCATCCTTTTCTTGGGGCTCTAGAAGTCAATCCATTTCCTAGCTTTCTACAGACCACTCCATGCCTTAGCTTATGGCCTCCCCTCCTCCATCCTCAAAACCAAGTACTCCACATGTCACTGGCCCTTCTTTCCTTGTTGCATCTTGTTTTCTGACTCTACTGCTTCTCTTTCCTTTTTAAGGACCTTTGTGATGCATTGGGCCCACCTGGAAAATCCAGGGTAATCTCAATATTTTAAAGTCACTTAATCAGCAATCTTAATTCCACCTGCAATTTTAACTCATCTTTGCCATGTAACCTAATTTATTCACAGGTTCCAGTCATTAAGACATCTTTGCGAGAGACATTATTCTGCTTACAACAGACAGTTTTAATAAAATTAAACATATAGTTGTCATATGACCCAGCAATGCCACTTCAAAGTGCTTACCCAAGAGAAACGAAGACATGCTCAAACAACAACCTATTTGCAGAGATTTACAAAAGTCTTATTCATAGGGAAAAAAAAACAAAACCCTGAAAATTATTCAAGTGTCTTTCCACTAGTAGATGGATAAACAAAGTGTGGTACATCCCATGAAATGGAATACTATATTCAGCAATAGAACAGAAGGAACTGCTGGTACGCTTAACAGCTTGGGTGACACTCAAATGTATTACACTGAGTGAGAGGAACTAGACTCAGCAGGCTAGATACAGTAGGATTTCATTTATATGATAGTCTAGAATAGACAAACTACAGAGAAAGACAACAGATCATTAGTTGCCAGGGGTTAAGGGTGGAGGAAGGGTTCACTATAAAAGAGCAGCTCGAGGGAATTTGGGTGCTGGCACTGTTCTGTACCTCGATTTTGGTAGCTGCACAGCTTTATGCACTTGTCAAAACAACAGTACAACAAAAAGTTAATTTCATTTCATGAGAATTATAAGTGAAGTCTTTTTGAAGAAAAGAATACAAATACATCATTTCTCACTCATCAGGTTGGCTGAAATCTAAAAATCTGACAGTGCCAGTCTGACAATCCCAAGTGTGGGCAAGAATGACTCAGATACTGTTGGCATGAATGTAAATTGTTACAACTTTAGAAGATAATTTGGCTGCAGCTAGTAAAATTGAAAATGCACATCAATCTATGGCCCAGCAATTCCACTTACAGGTCGGTATACATCCTAGGGAAATAGTCACACATGTGCTCAAGCAGACATGCACAAAGATAGTCATTGAAAATTGCCTGAAATATTGAAAAACTGAAAACAACCCTTCGGTAGGGGAATGAATTAATTGTGGCTAATAGTTATTTTAAAAAGGAAAGGAAAAAATGCATAAGGAAAAGAATCAACCTGGCGGGCTACATATGTAATTTTATGAAGGGTAAGTTCTTAGAACAGCACCACACTGGGAACCTGGACACAAGCATTTTAGCAATCAAGACTATGGAGTACTTACTACAATAAAGCTCACTTTACTTTTCCTAGAAAATGAAGAGGTAAGGCTATACAGCCACTAAGAATACTTCCAACACAACAATTACATTGTGATTTAATAAATATATAACCAAAAGTTATATTCTAAAGCCCCTATGTAAAGAAAGTATTTTCCCCAGACACCCTGAAATCAGAAACTATCAGAGAAATAAAACATCTTAGTATACTGATACATCAAATGGGCCAAATTTCTTTGTATGTCTTTGAAGAGCTTTTTAATCACAATCAGAATTCAGAAAGAACATATAAACAGCTCACCCTCAGGTAAAACACATATCCTCTCTCATTCTAACATTCTAAAAGTATTATTGAGCCCATTTTTACTTGTCAAGTTCAGATCTGTCCAGCCAAAAGTCATCCAAGTACATGGTAAGATTCACTTGCTCCTTCTTAAAAACAAAGATAAAATGAATTGCCTTTAGTACTTTTGCCTATTTCATACACAAAGGCCTTACATTATAATTTCATAGCAGCCTGCTACAATAAAGAGCCTTTAAAAACTTGTAATATGCCATGGCCACAGGGATCTAGTAAAAAAATAAAGAAATCAGTACTTCATAATCCAAAAACGCTTACTTAACAATTTCATTACTACCAATACTTTCACTTCAAAGACACCAATAACCAACATGTCATTTGTTCCTACTGCAGAATTTAATAGGTTATTAACTTCTGGTATAATCCCAAAGCATAATTAAAATTCAATCATTAAAACGTGATATTACTTTTTTTAAAAAGTAGAAATATTAACTTTCACCTTGTCGGTAATATCGAAATTTCAAAATTCGTGTTCTACAGCCTTTCCAAATGTAAATTCTTACAATTCTAAACAGGTACGGAGACAAAACGTACACTATATGCTACTTCTAAAAACCTCCTAGCTATCAGATTTTAATTTTAGCGCCAACTGCCAAAACAAAAAAACAAAAAACAAAACCCAACAACTTTCGACCGAAACCTAAATTCCGTACACATTACTGTATATCAATCAAACATAAGGTGAGTTATTATTAGGAAGTTACATAATTTCCACCAAAGACTGTTTAAAGCGCCTTTCATTAAATGCAGCTTCCAACAATTTACAGGCTTCAAAGTTCACCTTGCAAACTTGAGTAAATTACCAGAAACTATTTACGAGATTAGGCTTTTCTTAAAAATTGGTCACAAGGAAGTTAAGAACTGTTTATTTGTTTAAAGAACGCAACGAGCAGCTGAATACCAGGAGCTGAGTCAGGCAGAGGAACGCTGACTACATTCCGCCTTCCCAAGGAAAGTGTTCGCCCCGCCGATTTCCCCGACCCGGCCTAGAGGCAGTCCCGGGAGTCCCGAACTCCGGGACGGGGGGGAAGTGGACGGGCGACTCTCAGCCGCGCTCCCTGCAACTCGGCCCGGGAGGGCAACAGCCGCTCCAAGGCGAGTCCCTCGTCAAGACAGAGGCACTGGGCACAGCCAGGCGGCGTTCCTCCAAGGGACAAAGGTTGGGCTTACTCCCTCCGCGGCGGGCTGCGGCTCCCACTGCGTGAGGCAGCCCACCGAGAAGCCCCGAGTCCCTCCGGAGCCCAGCGCAAGGCTTGTGGGGGAGGGGGCGAGCCCGACTGCCCCTCCCCCGCCGCGCTCCCGGGGACCTGTTGATTACGACCACACCGAGCCGCCACCGGTCCGTGCCTCACCTCTGCGCCACTGCGGCCGCCGATCCTGCTGCCCCAGCCGCCTTTAAATACTGCAGAAACGACAGCTACCCAAAGGCACTTAAGATACCGGATAAAGAATCCAGAAACTCCCGATTCCCCACCTCACAATCCTAAGTCCCCGCCTCCGACTCCGCCGCCAGCCGCCGCCGTCTCCGCCGCCGGCGACTCCACCTTTGTACCACGCGAGACCGGCCCCCGCGGCCGCCGCGAGACCGCGCACGCGCCCCCGAGACTCTGGCGTAGCGGGCGCGCCTATCCCAGTCCCTCCTGGGCGCGCCCCGCCCGCTGCTAGGCAGAGAGGCTGGCGCGGTTCGCCCAATCCCGACCCGGTGCGGAGAGCCGGCCCGCTCATTGGTCGGTTCTGCAGCTCCCGAGCGGCCGGTCGCGCGCACTGGCTCGCCTCCAAGTATAAATGGCAAACTGCTTCGGGCTCAAAGATAATAGGAAATCGCTTAGGGGTTGAGCTCATGGAGTGTAGGTTGCGTGGGGATGCGAGGTTTCCCGGGGACGTAGTTGGGAGCAGGTCACCGTTCTACAGCCCTTGACACTTCTATCCGTGGAAGACTGTCCGCTTCTAAAGAAAATCTGATTCCCCACGAGGCCACTCCTCATGTCCTGTGAAAGACGTCACATGATCTAACATTTGTGTGTGTTTTTAAACGTGACATACTTGAACACTACACATGTAGTGTCCCATAGAAAGATCCTCTGCTACCGCAGGAGTCTCCAAAAAACTAACAACTTGGATCGAGTTCTGAAAACCAGAAAGAAAGAATGCCAAGGGCCACAGCTGTTTCACAAAACTCGAGTGAATGGGTTTAGAGTTACCAGGGCCAACCCATATCCAGTGCAAGGAAATCCAGACAAAGTCTCCAGAATTCCCTAGAAACTGCTAGCCATATACAAAAAAGGATGTCTATGTGTATGATCTATTTCCTTTTCTAAATTCTTAAATGCATAAAATAGTAATTCAAGAAGGCTCCTCTAGTTCCTCAATGAATTTTCTTCCTTTAGCTTAGGGTTTCTCAACCTCAGGGCCATTGACAAGTAGGGCCACAGCATGCTTTGTTATGAGGACTGTCCTGTGCATCGTAGGAAGTTTTAGCAGCATCCCTGGCTCCGCCCTCTAGATGCCAGTAGCACCATTATGACCATGAAAAATGTCACTGTATATGGCCAAAGGTACCCCTGGGGGCAAAATGACGTCCATTTAAGAACCACTGATCCGGCTGTTCTAAGAAATGTCCTCTTCAGAGTCTCTCATTACCCATGCATTCCAATTGCCTGGCTCCCAGCAATTTGGCATAACACCCCTAACCAAATGAACTCCCCAGGTACCTAGGCTTGTTTCCCCAGCCACCTAGGCTTGTTTCCCCAGCCACTTAGAGTTCTCTGTAACCGGACTGGACCGTAATAGATGATCGCTGTGTGAAATAGCAGCTAATTTTTCTCAAAACATGTGGAAATTCCTGTGTAAAATGCTATACAAATGTTAGTTATTATTTTTCCTTCCCAAGGTATTTTTATTTTAGAAGAGGGTAGACCCTATGACAAATAAAAAGTTTATTCTCTGGTGGATAAAGCCATTCCCAGAATTCCAAAATCACTCAGATTACTGGCCTTGTGTACCAAAAATGAGGAGTGTAAAATATAGAAACTGGAGGTAAATAATTGGATTTGTGATTTAGCTTTGATGCTAACAAGTTCTACAGGACTTGGATGTGTGAAAAGTTTCCTAAACCCTCCCTAAATTTTCCTAAACTTACTTGCCTAAATTTTCTCATGTGTAATATAACAGGTTAATTACATTTTTTTTTAAACTAGTTTTAAGATTCTGGTAGCTTCTTTAATTTAGCATAGATTGCATAGGGAGTAAAGAAAATATTATTTCATCCCAAAATAGAATGCAATGGGTGATCTGTGGTTTAAAATCCCCTATCAGAAGAATTGTTCATCCTTGTCACAAGGCAGGTTCACCCACTGAGTCACCCTGGCAAATTTGTAACTAAGTATTTTGGGTGAGTAGTGAAAGACAAACTGGAAAAACAAGTGTATGGTGGAGAGTGACCATAGTAAATACCCTTCCTCCTTCCTCATCTTGGTGTCTGCTTAACCTATCATCTACCAACAGCCTCTATTATATGTTTATGTAATAAAATGTACCATTTTATTATGTTAAAGGCTTGGGGGAATATAGTAATATTGCATTTTAGCCATTTGCAACAGATCTGAAACCTCAGCTTTCAAGATTCTACCATTCACTGTTATATGTGAAATTCTAAACTAAGGCTGTTATATTCCTTTGGTTTTATGTACTAGTTGAAAGTTAAAGTTTTCATAACTGAATTAGTAGCCTCCTCATTTATAATTGTGTAAGCCACATGGTCAGAAATGATGTAAGTTAAAAGAATACTCTATGATTGAGATATGAGAAGTTAAGAAACAAGTTAGTAGGTACATTAATTATTAAATAAGTATCTACACTGACCTCCTCCCAGGACTAATCTGGAATTACAACTAAATTGTGGAGAAATCACCTGGAACAAACAAGTGAACAATAGCGAGAGAGGAGCCTTGGAACCTCAGAGACAGAAGAATCGGGTTTAGCGTAATCTAACTGCCACGTACCCTGGTCTTTGGCAAAGGCGGGGGCAGAGTGGGCTAGAGACAACTGAGGAGAGACTGGAGACAGAGGCTCTGGGGAGAGAACGGAGAGAGTAGCCAGCGGGATCCCAGTTTGGACTCCGCCCCATATGGCAGCAGTGTGAGAGGACCCAATAACCCTGCCCCCCGAGGGACTCTGCCTCGCCCTGAGCTGTCTAAGGTGGCCTGCTGAGTGCAGAGTGAATAGATTGAGACAGCCACAAATAGTAGATTCCTGGAAGACTTGAACAGACTGCCTAAGGTCAGACAGCGTCAACATCTGACATCATCAGAGGCAGATCCAGAAAGTAAAAACAGCGATCTCCAACCATAGAAGTCCACACCACAAAGTCAGGAAATCAAGACAGATCAACTTAAGAAGCAGAAGCGAAAGAGAAGAGTCTCACAAATAATGGGGAGACAAAGAAATATGCCCCACTCGAAGGGAAAGTAGGAATCCCCACTAAGAGAAATAAATGAAATAGAGGCAAGTAAACTATCAGATACTGAGTTCCAAACAATGGTTCTAAGGAAGCTCAGTGAGCTCAGAGAGAATTACCAAAACTACAGGGTAAAGAGGAACTTACTGCAAACTATATCAGCATGAAAAAGGACATAGAAACTATCAATAAGAGGCAAGAGGAAATGAAGAATACCATTTCAGAACTGAAGAACACAGCAGAAGGAATCAAAAGCAGGATAGATGAAGCTGAGGACCGAATCAGCAAGCTGGAGGACACGGTAGAAAAAAGCTCCCAGAAAGCACAAGAAAATGAAAAAAGACTCAAAAAGAATGAAGAGGAATTGAGGGAGATGCAGGACAACCTGAAACGTAATAATATCTATATAATAGGGATACCAGAAGGAGAAGAGGATGAGGAAGGGATTGAGAACCTGTTTGACAAATTAATGATGGAAAACTTCCCTAATTGGAGGAGAGAAAAAGTCACACAAGTCCAGGAAGCACAGAGCGTCCCATTCAAGAGGAACCCAATGAGGCCCACGCCAAGACACATCATCATTAAAATGGTAAATAGCAAAGACAGACAGAGAATCCTAAAGGAAGCAAGGGAGAAAGAAGTAGTAACATATAAGGGAGTCCCGACATGGCTAGCAGCTGACTTCTCAACAGAAACACTGCAAGCCAGGAGGGAATGGCAAGAAATATTCCAAGTCATGAAAAGCAAAGGTCTGCAACCAAGACTGCTCTACGCAGCAAGGCTCTCAGTTAAAATGGAAGGCGAAATAAGGAGTTTCCCAGACAAAAGAAGGCTAAAAGAATACACCTCCACCAAACTAGCATGGCAAAATATGCTAAAGGGGCTGCTTTAAGATGAATAAAAAGTTTCTATGAATACTCAGTTCCTATCAGAGTTGCCAATACTTGATATTACCAATATTTTTAATACTCATTAATCTGATTGTGACAATGATGTGTTATTTTAATTGTTCCTTTACTATTTATTGAAACTAAACCTGCTTTAGTATATTCCTTGCCTATTTCTATTTTTTTTTTTTTAAAAAAAGCTTTAAATGACTTTTTGGTATTCTTTATCCATTTATTGATTAAAGATTTGTAGAACTTTTTCCCTAAAAAAACCAAACAAAAAACCCCCCCAAAACCTATTAACCATGTTTTAGGTGTGTTGCAAATACTTTTCTATTCTATTCCTTGTCCTTTAACTTTTTTTTATGTATATTACTATATAGTTAAATGTTTAATATAGTCATATTGTCAATATTTACTTTATACCTTCTGGGTTTGAATATTTTACTTCAGGTCATGAAAAAATTAGTTCTATTTTCTTCTAAAACTCCTTAGATTCTACATATTGATTTTTAACTCACCTGAACATTTCTTGTATAATGTGTGAAATAGGGCTCTCTATTTGTTTTATTTCAAGTAATAATGGTCCATGCACCTTATTTGAATAAGCCTTACTTTACCCATTGATTTGAAATATCAACTTAATCATATATTATATTGTTAGATGTATACGTTTGTCTCGAAAATGCTCAATATATTTCATTGATCTACTTGATTATTTCTGTGCTGGTGTCAGATTGGTTTAATTGCTGAGACTTTATAACAGTTTAAATTTTTTTAATATTTTATAATTAACTTTGACATTTAAAAAAATAAATAAAATCAATCTGCATTTAAGAAATAAAGAAAGAAAGAAAGACAGAAAGAAAGAGAGACGGAACTCCTACCTTTCGCGACAACATGGATGGAACTGGAGAATATTAAGCTAAGTGAAATAAGCCAGTTGATGAAAGACAAATACTGTATGATCTCACCTATAAGTGGACTCTATTAAACAAAATAAACTAATGAACAAAATAAACCACAGGCACAGAAACATGGAGCAGACTGAAGTGACCAGAGGGGATGGGGAAAGAGGACAATGGTGGAAAGAAGGGGAAGGGACTAGACAAAGAACATGTAT